ATAATGGTCTGGAAGAGGCATTGAACAAAAGTTGCCCAACTACCTCAGATCATCGGTTGTGCTTTGGTTCAATTTATATAGGTGTAACATCATAAAATGTGTTCCAGAGGATTAGTGTGATTTTAATTTGGTAAGTCATAATTTTTTGGTTTCAAATCTTCTATCTCATATATAATGATAAAACTACAAGGTGTTGAGAAAGTGACACAAAAGTACAGGCAATCCTGGTTCTTACCAGGATTGACAAAAAGGCATCCATACTCCTGTAGTGATGACTATTAGATCCATTGCTATGGTCAATTTGTGAGAACTTGAAGGAATGATCAGATATAAAATCATGTATTAATATATTTGAGTTTAAAGCTTACAATTTATATCTTGCCTCAAAAGCAAAATATATAGCTTTTTTTTAAAAAAAATCTGCTTTATTGAGGTATGTAAATATACAATAAAATCCACCAACTTTAAATGTAAAATAATTGTTGAAAATATCATCCTCTCCCCTATTTAATTGCTTTAAAACCTTTTTCGAAAATCAATTGACCATAAATATGTGGGCTTATTTCTGGATTCTCTGTTATCTATCAACAATATAATTGCCAAATCCAGATCCAAATCCACCAACAAAGGTTTGGCTCAGAGGTGCAGCCATGGAACATTAGAGGCTTTGGCAAAAAAACCCAAAAACCTGGAGGAATTTCCAGATTCACAAAAAGGTAGTGGTTTGGGTGGGTTGGGATAAGATAAACAGTCTCCAGAACTTTACCAGCTTCTTTTTGACCCTGGATGAAGCTACACAGTCCCTCCAAAGGAGGGGCCTATGTAGCACCTGAAGGAGGGCCTTCACGATTCACTGTCTGGCCACCCATTTAATCCTGCTTGCTTTCTCCTTTGCAGACTCACCCTTGTAAAGCATTACGTTTTTATTTCCTTTCTGATCCACATTTCATGTTTCCAATCTGATCAGCCCCATCTCTATCCTAGGCTGTAGCTTCTACAATTCCACCTCCCTGGGGCAAACCCCCAGACTTCCTGCTTATGGGAAGAGGGCTTAAGTCGTATTGCACTAAGTTTCATATTCAGCTGTCTCAGTATTCTCTCTTAATTTTGTCATCCACCTTCCCTCTGATGAAATACTCCTTCCTTAACTCTGATCCTACATGTATCTGGGTGATCCAGAAAACACTGAATGAATGGGGTAATCTGCTGAAGACTTAACTTCTGATTTATTATTTGACATTTTGCAAGAAAATACTAGACAGGACCTACTACTCAGCCTTTTGAGCAGAAACTCATGAGGAGGAACAGAAGGTATTTCTGACAGTTCCCACTGTCTTCCCCAACTATGGAGAGTGAACAGGATGTTTTTGTTTATTTTTTTCATCATATAATGGGGGTACAAATGTTAAGGTTACATATATTTCCCTTGCCATCCCTCCCCCCTTGAGTCAGAACTTCGAGCATGTCCATCCTCCAGGTGGTGCACATCGCACTCATTATGTAAGTATACACCCATCCCCTCCTCCCCCTCCCACCTGCCCGACACCTGATAAATGTTTTGTGTTTTTTTTTTACATTCCGGTTACATTTTATATCTTTGCCTCTCCCTAGGAAGGATTAGAGGTATGCCCTTCCCCTCCATAATGCTCACCACATCCCTAGGATGTGGGTCTCACCCACCAAACCCCTAATCCCTGATGAACACTACCACCATTTGAGCATCATAGTTTTAATCAGTCAGTACCAATTTGATGGCGAGTACATGTGAAGCCAATTTTCCTGATCTTGTGTCACCTCACTTTGGATTATGGGCTTAAGCTTAATCCAGGATAGTATAAGTGGTGCTAGCTTGCTGTCGTTTCTTAGAATTGTGTAGTATTCCATTGTGAACATATACCAAATTTTAATTATCCATTCATGAATTGACGGGCAGTTGGGTTGTTTCCATGTTCTTGCAATAGTGAATTGTCCTGCCACAAACATTCGGGTGCAGATGTCTTTATAACATAATGTCTTATGCTCTTTTGGGTAGATGCCTAATAATGCTATTGCTGGGTCAAATGGTATTTCTATTTCTAGTTGTTTGAGGTATCTCCAAATTCTTTTCCACAAAGCTTGCACTAATTTGCAGTCCCACCAGCAGTGTAAGAGTGTTCTTGTCTCTCTACATCCTCGCCAGCATTTGTTGTTTTGTGATTTCTTGATACAGGCCAATCTCACTGGGGTTAGAAGGTATTTCATTGTGGTTTTGATTTGTATGAGACATTAAGGATATTTTGTTTCTAAGGTCCATGCCCTTCCTATAGGCCACTAATCTCTATGCTATTATTCTGGAAGGGACAATAGGATGTACATATAGTTCAGAAAATAAGAAGGGGGAAAAGGAGGAGAGGAGAGTTCGAAGAGAAGGGGCTCTGGGTCCACTGGCTGTCTAAGTCATGTTGGAATCATTCCTAGGGTTGTTATACATTCTAGGATGTGCTGGGGCTTATAGACCAGGGAAGGACTGCTGAGGGAGCCCTGAGCTAGTGTCCTGGAGCACTCTTCAGACCACTGGATCCGTCCCAGCACTGAAACCCAAGAGGACTCACCAGAAATTCTGTCCTATTGTGTCAATAGGATTCTTGCTGTCCCTATACTGTGGGATCTTTGTCTGCTACCTTCTAGTCACACTAGTGTAGGCCCCTACATTTTAGAATAATGTCTTAGTTGCACAATATCCTGTACCCCAGGCAGGGCCAGTTTCATGGATGTGCCACCTGGGCAGTTGCACAAGGGTTCCCATTCATAAGAGTCCCATGCCTGGTTTAATGCTCTGCTGCTGCCATTTTTTAATTCTTAATGACTTTATCATTGAACTTGCATTTTGTAAATGAAGTCCAATGCAGCACATGTATGAGCAGAGGAGATATGATATGCATGTCTACTATTCCTTGACAGCTCCTTTGCACAAGGCATGCACAGTATTTGTGAGCACAGATTTCCTGTGGGCTCAGAATGCAAAGACGTTCGGCAAGACTCAAAAGAGAGTCCAGGGTGAGAGCATTACATCTATGACTGATATCGATACATATGATACATCTATGACTGAGGCAGTGAGTGCCGACATCCCTGAGGGGGTCACCCTTCTTATGTGGACCAGCACTGGCATCCAACACAGAACGAAGGAATAGTGTTCTAAGAAACATGGATGACCAAGAACAGTGTTATATCCTTTCTTACTCACATGACTTTCCTGTGTTAGCCAACCCCTTATGCTGAAAATGATGACATCAAAGGAAAGATAGAGCAACCCATAATTCCTTTTCCTGTCAGGTCTTCCTTACTCATCAGTAAGCTGAACATAGAAAGTATTGGTAGCATGTGCGTGTATCAAGCAAGATGCAAAATAAAGAGTTGAGGTAGTTCTGTGCACGTACGTGTTGCATTTTCATTGCTCTGGTAAGAACAAAATACATATGCATGGACGAACTACAAAAATACAAGTTGTGTAATTTCAGTGATTCCACATACAAATTAAATGGTCTTATATTTGCATTTAAAAGTGGCATTGCACAATATAAAGATGAACAGCAAAATTTATGCCAATAATTTGAAATTTAAATTTCTTTCCTTAGAATAACATTAAATAAATTTTTTTAAAAATCCACCATAACAAGTTGAGAGAGCGACCATGAAAGAAAGGAACTCCACATTTTGGTATATTTAACAGCATTTTCATTTTGAACTGGGCCCCACAAATTGGGGACAAGGATCCTGCATTTTCATGTACTGGGACTTGCAAATTATGTTGCCATCTCTGAGCCCAGGGGCCCTCCCAGGCTCCCAAGAGGGTTGGAAGGCATATGGGTACTGGTATGTGGGGGACAGGCTCTCATGCCAGGGTATTCGGAGCTGGGATCAAAGGGAAGCAGGTACAGACCCCAGTCATCAGGGCAAGGCTTCCTGCCCAAGAGAAAGGATTTGAACAAGGAAGGGAACTTGATAGAGTGCATGGGGTATAGACTCAATGATTTTTACCCAGGGCCAGTAATGACCATGTTGGAGCATTTGTGCTCTTGCAGACTCGTGAATGGTCTTCCCAGGCTACAAGGTGCAGGCTGTGACGACCAGGCTGCTGTGCCTCTACAGCTCAGAGCTGAAGGTGAGCTGGGACAACACCTGACACTGGGATGAAGGCTTGCTCAGCCTAGGAAGACAGAGCGTCTGAACGCTGGGAGGGTCTCCCTAGCTCAACCCTTTTACCCGTGAGGAAACCTGAATTCCAACCTAGACTTAGTTTTCTTTCTAAGTAGTTGGGAACCTCAGACAAGCCACCCACCCCTTCCAAGCCTCCATTACCGTAACTTTAAATTGAGAGGGTTCACTTATAAATCCTCTAAAGAGGCTGGTCCATTTCTAAAAGCCTAATATTTAAATGTGCCACACTGACCCCAGGCATTTATACTGATTTAAGTCATACTGTAAATGGCATAGCATGCCGTTGACATTAGCCATTGACACCGAGGCTGCCGCCTTACTAGAGTCTTCTCCAGGATGAAGGGCATCGCCGATAGGACCGGGCGCCACACACTCTGAAACCGCGTGCTCTCTCGCGCGGGAGAGCCCAGCATGGCTTAAGTTCATTAGCGGGGTTTTGACTATAGTTTAGGTAGTTCTACAGGACCACACAGTGAAAACTATGAACCTGGCCTTATAAATGTAAACAAGTAAGATTAGAGCAATATTTTATGTAGAGCATTTATATTTATTTTGATGCTTCCTTATCTCATAGGAAAATAGGTAACCATTAACTCTAATTTACACAGGAAATGAGGTGATTATAGTGATTTTGGACAAATATTAGAGCAATGTTAGGGATTCTGTTGGTCTCTGAGAAACTGAATAATGAGTTTTATACACCATTCATCTGACATGCTGTGGTAAGGGTAAAGGGACAGATCTGGAATTAACAGCAAATTTGTGCAATTGGCCAATTGGTAAATATTACTTGTATTGTTAAAAAAAAAAAAAAAAAGGGAAAGAAATAGGCTGGAGGTGCCAAGGAGGTTTGTCAGAGAGTGCACACCTCTGAGGCACCCGTCTTTGTTTCAAGATGACAAAGCAAGCTTTGAACAGTACATCCTGCCACCAAACTCTGGTCCCTGATGCTTTGTCTCAGTTCTTACATTTGGCTTTGTCCTGAGGTCATGGCTGTCTGAGCTGGGAGGCTCCTGGTGCTTTTGTTGGACGCTGCGGCCCGGCCTCTCTCTTGCAAATGCATGGCCATGCTGTGTTACAGCTGTGGTTCCCTCACAGTTGGGCCAATGTCACCCAGAGCGGACAGAATGACCATCCTCAGCATCCTTGCCAACCCTAGAAACAGAAGTTCATAAATAGGAAGCTCTTATTGTCCTTCTCTAATGGCTCTTCTCATGGAAAAAATAAATTGGCAAAAGTTTAATTTGTTCTATTTAAACTCTTTTATATTCTCAAACATGTCTCTCTTTTTTTTTAATTTTCTTTTTCTTTTTTTTCAATAAGGCCTGGGCCATCCACCAGGCTTAGCAGATGGAGCGCCATGATTGGAAGGGGACCTCAGGAGGGGGAAGGGGCCCTGCCCTAGGCACCCAGGTCTGTGTGGGGTGATGGAGAACTGTGGCTTCCTTACCGTGACTCCTGACCTAGACTCGCTGTGACCTTTATTCTTGGACTTGACCACAGAATCTGTTTCTTGTGTTAACTTCTGCTTGGTCTTGACTTCTTGTCCTGCTGCTGAGCAGACCTGGTGTTTTTCCCTGACTGCTAACTCTGGTTTTTACTTGGCAGACTGAATTTTAGCATCAAACCCTCATCTCCTCCAGCCTGCAAGACTGGCCCACCACTAGTTTGGGTATCAGTCACTTTCTGCCTGTCATATGACATTCTGGCTGCTAGAACCAGAGAAAGTGTCCATTTTTCTCTCTACTAACAGCCTTTTCTTTTTAAATCATGGATGGCGGTGGCAGTGGTTATAGGGAATATTGGAGGGAAAACACTGTGTTTGGGTTTCCTGGTCCCATTCTCCCTGGAACAGACTTCTTAGATGAGCTTTAGTTGCTGGGAGAATTGCACCTTCCCCCCCCCATGAAGATCTCACAAGTGTGCTATACTTAGGTTTAATTTACAAATGAGTGGTCATTGGATTTTTCTATTGTGAAATGAAGGTTAGAGGCAAATCAAGGCAAAGAATTCTAAAGAAATAAGCTAATAAACTAATGAAAAATCACTTTATATTAAGCACAAAAATGGTATACTATCAAAGCTGCAGTGAAGTTCAATATATAAGTGATACTGTGTGTCTATTTTGTTAAATCTTATAAATCAAAAACATAATTAAATCTAATGGGTATTGGCAGGAAATTCTCCCTTTTTATGCAAATGGATTGCTGTTTGTGTAGGTATGAAAATAGATCAGTATCTCTTAGTATGGAAAATGTATATTCATAAACCACAGTAGTGGTTAAGAGCGGGTGTCAAGAGTTGAAATCCTAGGTTCTGAACCAGGCTCTGCCACTTGTTAGCCATGGACCTTGGGCAAATGTCCCCATCTGGAAAATGGAAATAATACCAGTATTGACCTCACAGGGCTATTATGAGTTTTAAATGAATTAATATGTGTAAAATGCTTAGTCCCATGGCCTGTGTATAGTAATTACTTAATAAATAACAACTATCATCATCATCATTGTTATTATATATAGGATGAAACAGAAAATAGAGGAGCTCTAAGAAGAGATTAAAAAGTAATGAGAAGGCTTTGGGGGATTAAGGGGGAAATGACAAAGTGAGATGGAAGATATATGTGTATTATTTGCTTTCTAAAAGTTCACTGATAATTTCAAAAATCAAAATTATTTCATGGAGTCTTCCTTGGCCAAGCATAGAGTGCTACTATCACATTCACTAAGTGTCTCACTCTATGAAGATTGTAATTACTATCAAGTTAGTATTAAACCAATCAAATGAGCCTGACCCAACAGTCGTACATTGCTTTTCAATGTCAAATTCTTAAAAAAAAGAAGAAGAAAAAAGCCCCTTAATTTATGGTAATCTAATATGTGCATAGTGCTTCAGCTATTCTATTAAACCAGTGTAGTCAAAACCCTAAAATTTCAAGCATTCTCAGACATAAGTTGCATCAGCCGGCCTAGGGCAGTGGCTGTGAGGTGGAGGAGGGCGAGAAAGAAAAAGAAGAGAGTGCTTTATAATAGGGGGCCATTATTTTCTTTGTCATATTTTGGTTTCTTTAAAATTGTTCACTTGCATTTAAGTCCCCAAGAGCCACGAAAATTATGTTGAACAATAGCAGGGATTTGTGAAAAGATTCCTTAGATAACATTTGAAAAACACAAGCAGCCCTTGAACCTTTTTGCATCCAGTAACATCTGACAGGCTTTGTGAGCTGCAGCCACCTGCAAGAGTTCTAAAATAGATGCTTTCAGAAAACAGTGAATTCTCAGAATTGATGTGTTAATATCATTCTCTTAATTACTTGACATCTGACCTAAGTAGCGGTAACAAGACGATTTCAGCTGAAGTGAAAGGGAGAGTGGAGGCTGTCATTCACATATTTTTGGCCATGAAAAAAAAAAAAAAAGGACAGCTATTGAGAAAAACAAAACAAAACAAAACAAAAAAAACCAGTTTATGGTGTCAGTTAGGCAGATTGCCTACCCAGCTGAAGTTCACTAAATAATCACTTAATCTACCACTTCATTTTTCCTGTGTCTATCAGCTTAGATTTTCAATAATATGAAGAAGAGTTTACTTACCATTTGGAGGTGGTGAGGAGAGAGTAGTTGGGGTAGGCTATGGCATCCTCAAGGAAAAATGTACATTATAATGATTTTGTTTATGGAGATTTCTCAAAGCATGGAATAAAACATATAGAAATAAATATTGGCTTGAAAAAAACACAAGCCCTGAGGGGAAGAAAAACTCCAAATAATGGAAAGTCCATTAAAAGACAGAAATTATAGGTCTGCAATGCAAGTTAAATCAGTAACTTCTACTAATCAAAGCAAGACTCCCGGTGTGGGTCACATCCCAGCTGCTATTTCCCAGCCCAAGACAAGGTTTTATTTCCTATTTGTCTTCCTCTTTTTTCAAACTGTCAACACGGCAAAGCCAATACAGCTGTGGGCAAAGCAGCTGTGTGATATTCTGCCTCCCACATCGTCAACCAAATTGCCTGCTCAGTTTTCCTTTATTTCTGGTACTGATGGGCTGGGATGGCAGGGCGGAGGCCCGGCGGTGGCACCCGCCTCTGTGGTTACCAGGGAGCTCTCTCCCTAGGGCCCCTCTTTCTGCACATCTTTCCCTCCCCTATATTCTTTCAGCCTTTTCTCTCTTCTTTTTTTTTTTTTTTTTTTGTTCTGGAAAGACTATGCTCATGAGACAGTTCTGATTCCTAATTATTTCCTTAATATGTAGCCATAAGCACAACCGTGAGCTTTTTGGATGGCTATCAGGAAAAAAAAATCACACTTCATTTAACCATTTTCATACTTAACCAAGAATAAATCTTTATCTTCATTTCTGATTATTTTCATCAGGATGCCTACAAGTGGCATTGCTGGATTTTTTTTTTTTAAAGGCTATAAGCTTTTTAAAAGGTTTTTTGGATGCCTACTGCCAAATTGCTTTCTTTTTTGGATCTATGAGTGTATGAGAGTCTAAGCCATTTTTAGTACATCCCACATGGGAGAGACACGTGTTTCCTTTCTTTCCTCGGTATAATGCAGGGGCCATGTCACACCCCAGAACCGTGTCCGCCGACTGAGCCTGACATGACCATCACCTGAGGTGCTGGTGACAAACTGGATCCCTGGTGTCCTCACCTGGAGAGGCTCACACAGTGGCTTGGACTGGGTCTCGGGACGTGGCTAGTCAGTAGGCTCCCCCTCCCCAGGGGATGCTGATGGCAGAGAAGCAGGACTGGCGGCGTGGGGAGAGGATTAGCAAATAGTGCAAGAATGCTTGAAATTTTAGGGTTTGGACTATACTGGTGTAATAGAATAGTTGAAGCACTATGCACATATTAGATTACCATACATTAAGGGGCTTTTTTTTCTTCTTTTTTTAAGAACTTGACATTGAAAAGCAATGTACGACTGTTGAGTCAGGCTCATTTGATTGGTTAAATACTACTTGATAGTAACTAATGTCCAGGCTTGTGCCTCTGAGGTGCAAACTTTGAATGAAATGTTAAGATAGTGTCGATTTTGGGGATCTATAGTCTGGACCCCAAAGAGACCCTGGGAGGGAGAAGAGGTGTGGTGAGGACACAGATGCCATTGAAAGCAGCAGTGGAGAGGGCCAAGGCCAAGTTGAGCACAGGAGTGAGGGAAGGCTGCCTGGAGGAGGTGAGCTGAGCTGCTGGCAGGGACAGCTTTCCTGAGGATTATTTTCCAGTTGGTGAGTGTTCACAAAATTGAAATTTCTCCAATTATACCACAAATTATTCTTCTGGGCAAAGGTGTTGTGTGTATGTGTACACGTATGTATACACACACAAATGCATACAGAGGCTTTGCTGTTAAATCTTATACACATGATTTCATTACATAAGAAATATGTGAGCGTACTTCTATAAAACCTTGAAGTACTGTAGGTAAGTCTAAAATTAACCATTATCACCCAACACACACCTTCTAACCACTGAAGTGACCAATGCTATCAGCTTGGTGTATATACTTCTATAGCTATTTCTGTACACCTTATGTCCCTATATATGCCTGTAGAAAATGTATAGAATAGCTCTAAGTGTGGACACATTTTAAATAAATAATACCATGCTGTATGCATTGTTTTGTAACTCACTGGGAAGGGGGCACATTGTGGCCCATTTTAAATCTTTTAAAAAATTGCAGATAAAAATTCCCCTGTCTGTCACCTCAATCCTAGTCCACTCTTCTTTCCAGAGGGAAGTCTTATCATCATTTTGCAGGACATCCTCGGCAAGGGCTACATTTTATACCTTTTCTGTATCTCCATTAATTCTTCAACATGTAACCGTAGTCGTAGAATCTCAGAACCAAAAGCCTTTTCTACAGATCACCTGGTCTAGCCTCCTCATTGTATAGATGCAGAAATAGATCAAATGCCCAGTTTCAGGTCACCCTTACTATCTTGGCCTTGGTTTTCATGACCCTTAGCTAGGTCACAATCTGCGTTACTTCTAGCAACTTCCACTCAAACGGTTTAAATTGAAAGCTTCTTTAGTAACAACTTCATTCACAAAGAGTCTGTGAAATTCTCTTTTACCAGGATGTAGGCTTAGGGGAGGAAAGAATTAGACCACTAATGTGGAGCATGGGCTGTGTGAGGAGCCATACTTCCTGTCACTTTAAGCCACTGAGAGCACCAGGAAGAGTATGGTCCTCTGGTTTGACCTCCTGATACTGCAGGTGAGAGGAGACCTTGGCTCCAACTCTCTGAATCCCTCAGTGGGGTAAGATTTTCATTTTGAGGCCAACCGTTTGAAGGCCAGCTCCCACCTTTTGGCTTTCTAACGATGTCAGAGGCAGAAAGAACACAGCTTGACTCTTGAATTTCAGGTTCAGTCCATTTCAGGGATAACCAGAAAGGAAAAAAAAAAGAAAAGAAAAGAAAGAAAGAAAGAAAAGAAAAAAAAAAAACCCTTTGGCTCACAAAATAAGAATCTTTGAAATGAAAGTTGTGCAGGGTAAATATGGAGCCTCACAATGGCATCTCTAGGGCCGCATTTCAGAACACAAGGGCACTTCCTCTCTGTAGCAGAAAGCCAAGAGATGTCATGTTCCTTAATTAAAACGTATCTCAAGAGTCAGTGGGAGGCACCTGCACAGCCCCTACCTGAAGATGCCGATTTACAGAAAAACTTCCAGCCGTGGGATTCATACAAGGGACACGCTGGCAATTGTGAGTTTCTTTTAAAATCAGCTTCTGTCTGTCATACCTATGTAGTTACAAAATCAAAGGGGATAATAAAGTTCAATTGTATATTCACAGTTTGATATTTCTATTGACAGGTCTCACACAAAAAACGCCATTTCAGGAAACTCTGATTCTGTGTCCCTCTATGAAAGGCACTAAAAGGCTCTCCTGGGTTGCAAATCCCCACCCAACAATCCCTCTAAATCTGAATCTATAAAGTGGCCCCATCAAGGTTCAAAGGTGTCAAATTGGGCCTCCTCTCCCCAGGTTCTGTTTGTGATTTTAAAATATCCCTCTGATGGTGAGGGAAAAAGGAAACCACCCAGAACAAGCCACAACTGGGTTAAAATCCCAGCTCCTAAGTAGAGAAGAGCAGTTAACCCAACAATGACCACACCACAGAGGGGAGATCAGAACCACTTCCGGGCACTGAGGGCTTGGGTAGCCCAGGAATGAATGCCCCTTCTCTCTGCCCTGCTGTCCTCTCCTCATCCACAGAGAGTCCGTATCAACTCTGAATGTTCTCGTGTTTTAAAAATGTCAATGTGTCTGTCTACTGTGGAAACATTCTTCAGGCCCACTAGAAAACCAACATGCAGGTGCCTCTAATTTTTAGAGAAGATTTTTCTTGGAAAATAGGGGTATGTGTTCGACTGGATTCAAAACTAGCAAGTCTGTTCTCGCAGTAGTGTATGGGACTAGGCTTACGCAAGAGCAGAGCACATCTGAATGCAAAAATTAAATGGAGGAATTGGGGGGGGAGAACAGGTGCTCTTTTATAAAGGCTAAATTCCATATTTACCAAACTGATTTGCATGAGGCATGTTTTCAATGAAAATATTGCTACTCATTTTGCTGCATTTGTGCAACAGAAACATAAGGATGGAGCAGAAGAGGGGCGCGGTTCTCAAGCTGTCTTCTTGTCCCTACCCTTCAGCCGACGGTCGTTAAGTGGCACATTTGGGAGATTATTAGCTCATAGAACTTCTGGCTTCCCACTGCCAAGACAGCAAGACTTTGGGCTTCTTCTGACCCCACCATACAGCCTCTAAGCAGTCAAGAGATAGATGAGAATCTAGAAGGGAGAGTGAGAGGTCATTCATTGCATTGACTATCACCAAGTTAAAGCACCTAAATTATCTCAAGAGAAGATTCTATTCCAAGTTAATTCCATGCCTTTTCTTAGTAATCCAAGCCAGCGTTAACTCTTACTACAAAGAATGTCTTCCTCCTGTTTTAAAACTTCTACTGATGCTTTACCTCCTCTTCATGTAAATCCAAAATGAAAAAGTGCTGTCAACGATATACATTATTTCATTTACACTCTTAAATCAATTCTATGACATAGGTGCTATGACACCCCCATTTTACAGATAAAGCATATAAAGAAACTGAGGCAGGGAGAGATGAAGAAATTGGCCCTGGGTCACCCAGATGATACATGGTAGAAACAAGCTTTAAACCCAGGCATCTGACTCCAGAGTCTACACTCACTTCACCACCAACACAAGCTGCTACCTGGTGGTCTCAGATATGGTCAGCTGCAATTAGAGGTACTAACAAGACACCAAGGAGGCTCCAGAAAAATGGAACCCATACCAGAAATAAGAGGCAGAGATTAGAATAAGGTTAGGCGAGCAAGTGGTTGATGGAAGATATGGCAATGGCTGGCAGATTGCTACAAAAATACACATGGATTCACTTGCAGGAGGGAAGGTGGTGAGCACATTTCAATAAGCAAGGCCAGTCTTTTGTGTATTTATAGCCCATGTTCTCCTGGACTCCCAAGAGGTTTCCCCTGGATTTACCGAGAGGGTAAATCTAGTGGCCCTGTGTCTTTAGGCAGGGGCCACTTCCCCACGGGACTGAAATGTTCCAGGGTCACCACAAAGTTTCTGATTACCTCTGAGAGTTTACTCTGAAAAGGTCGTTGAGAAACATCTTGTAGAGAAGTGAAGCCCCAGAATGCTTCTCTCTCTCTCAGTTGCAATCAGACAAATGCAGAACCAGTTTACGCCTCCTGTAGGTTTTCAGGTTTTCCCTTCTTAGGAACTTAGAGGCTCCAGATAGAGCCCTGGTTTCAGGTGAGGGGTGGGGCAATACCTGCTGCTGATGGTGTTGTCCAGCCTTTGGGGAGAGCAGCTGAGGCAGATCCTCTTCCTGGCTTGCAGCTTGAGTGAAAAACACTGGCGAGCACACACACAGCACACCCTTGAGGAAGCTGAAGCTTCAGTGCTGATATCTGAGACCAAAGAAAACTGGTATTCTCTCAACTCAGCAGGTTTGGAACAATCGGCTCTTCTTCCCCAATGACTATTGGATGACCTGGTTTGCCCTACCATTCCTTTGTGTGGCTGTGGAAGCTCTATACCTGGTTGCATTTGCTTAGGTACACGGTTTGCTTAATCTTACATTTTTGTTTATACAAGCACCAAAGCTTAACATGGGTAAAACAGACGTTTGATGGAATCAGAGCTTCCAAACCACCACATTGGCCTCTAACGCTTCCCATAAATGTCCTTGGAGCTTCAGTAAATCTCCCTCTGGGATTTCCATGCTCAATCTGGGATCCACCTGAGGGAGACTAATAGGAAAATGGTCTATGCTTGAAAATAAACAGTCTCAAGGAAGATTTAATCCCTCACCAGGGAAAAACAATGAAGATAAAAATCAGAATCCTCCAGCTGTCCATAACCTATGGCAAACACAATATTAATTCTGTCTATAAAAGTCCTTATTTTAATAAAAGAAGGATTGGAAGTGTGAAGATACCAAATCCCTCAGTCCCTGCACCCCACCTTAGAATCACCCCAATTTCTGTGACCTACATGGTACAGGTTGTGATCTGTTATTAATGTTGCTATCTGATTGTTTGTTTCTTAGTGGGAACTGGTGGACCGAGGAAGATTATATGAATATATGCCCAAACCCAAATAAAAAATCTGAAGGGTGAAACACAGTTCAAGCACCTCCCTCCTACTGACCTGTAGACACTAATTCATCATCCCAAAGACAACCTGAGTTATTGTTTTCACATTTGTCCTGCAGGAGAGATTCTCTGCATATAGAAGTTTACTCTTGTGTGCATGTGTAGAGGCAAATATGTTTTTTGCACTAAGGGCAGCATACTATACACATCTTGGTGATTAAAAGCCTGAACTCTGGACTCTAGAGTTTGGGTTCAAATCCTGGCTCTGCTGTATAGGAGCTATATGACCTTGGGCAAGTTTCTTAACCTCTCTGGGCCTGAGTTTCCTTATCACAGAAACCGGGCTATTAATGGTACTACTTCATTTGATTCAGGGTTTTAATCAATAGATGTAAAAGATTTAGAACAGTGCCTGCAACATTTTGGTAACTTTTAGTGTCCACCACTTAACTATAGATCTTGGAACATTTTCTATATTAGTCTGTTGAGATGTAGCTCTTTGTATTTAGTGGCTGAATACTGTTCTGTCAAAATACAAAAGTGTATTTAACCAGTAGCCTACCCATGAGCATTTGGATTGTTTCCAGATATTTGCAATTGTAAGCAACACAAATGCTACAGCAGTTATCACTGTAAATACATCCTAAAAGAATAAAAAATTCCTAAAAGCAACTTTGCTGAGTCTATTTCATCACACTTAAATTTTTTATAGAAATTGTCAAACTTCCTTCCAAAAGCTTTCTTTTAATTTATGTTCTCAGCAAAAACATACAAGACTCTTGCCTTCATACTTCTTGACATTTACCAGTCTGAGAGGTAAAAAATGGTTGCTTGAAGTTTAAATTTCTTTTATTATGAGTGAAGATGAGCATTTTTTTCAAATGCCATGCTCATCTTGCTATTGGATTGTTGGTGTTTTTCTTATTGAACAGTCTGTTTTTTAAACCAGAGAGTCCTGAGTTATGTACTAATCCTTATGTAAGTGATTGGATCTGCCTCCTGGTTGATCTCACTTAAAGTCTCATTAGCCTGTGCAAAAAGGTTTTCACTATGGTAATTTTATTCGAAATGTTGAACAGTACAAATTTGAACACTGCAAGGATCCGTTAGCACTCAGGCAAGCTTATCTGCCATGCTGAGGATGAAAGTTTATTGCATCATAAAAATGTTACCCTCTGCTTGTGTTAGGCAAGTATTGAAATTTTTATGAGCTCTCCTTAACTAAAGTTATCGATAAATAACACATGATTCTTGACTGGGCTAATCCTAGATTGATGTGACTTATTTGATAAATCAACACCATAAAGAATCTCTTGGATCAATGGTCTGATTGTTCAAGGAGGGAATGAAGATTGTAACTTGGAGTTTCTAAATCAGACTCCTACAGTGAAGAATAGACAATCAGACTCCAGCAGTGAAGAATAGACCGGTATTTTAGCCTCTGAGAGTTGACCCCCACTGGTCAAGGCTATGGAGGGATTGCTATAATCCCGTTCCCTCTGCACCTAGGTTGTTGCGGCACAATGCCTCCTTGTAACCTTGTTGCCTATTTAATCTGCCTCAGAAGAGGCCAAGTCCACAAGGGTCTTTTCCAGTGGTTCTCACATATGTGTATCAGGATCACTCAGGATGCTACACTTCTAAACCCACAGGTGATTCTGAAGCAGGTGGTCAAAATGCACACTGAGGAATTCAGTAGCCATGCTAGGTTACTGAATCAAAAATTTCAAGGGACACAGCCCAGGAACCTCCAATTTTACTGGCACACCCTGAAGTTGAAAAACCTCTGTGGCAGGAAGGCATGTGATTGTCACCACTCTGAAGAGGCTGATAGGGTTGGAAGGGTATCTTGGAGTGTGCCCCTCTAATAAATGTAGAACCATTGATTTTGATTGGAAGAGAATTTAAAGTTTTCCTTGTCCCTTCAGCTGCTCTTGGGAGGTTCAGCATCTGTTATGTCTTTCTTCCCCCTCCCCCGTGACATTATAAGGTGAGTGAGCAACAAGAGACCTGTCCACGGGGGAACTGGCCATGATGGGAAGAGGACAGCAGGGAGGGGTTTCTCCCTGAAATGTTCCTCTTTGACACCCTGCCATTAATCAGGAACACACAGTCTTAAATTTCATCTGAGCAGGTGTTCCCTGGCACTCCCCATTTCCACTCACAGAGTCCCTGTTTTTGAATAAGTGGTCCTGTACCTAAAAAGGGGATCTTTTGAGAATCACCTAGTAAGAAAAATAACAGCTAACATTGAATTATGCCAGGCACAGAGCTAAATGCTTCTACAGATTATTGCAATAATCCTAAGAAGTGATATTATTATAATTATAATCCCATTTTATAGATGAGAAAACTGAGGCTCAGGGAGGTTAAAAGACTTGGCACAAGTCTTTTAAAAGACTTGGCACAAGCAAGTAAGTGGTAGAAGGATTCAAAGCTGGTCATCTGACTCCAGAGTCCCTATTCTTCATTACTCAAGAGAGTGTTGCCTGTTAGCAGTTTCTGACCCTCCGCAGTTATATTTTAGAGGTACTCCTCATACTGACAGGCAACATGATTTAGTAAAATAGGAAGAGTTCAAACATCAAAAGCTCTGGAATGTCTCTCACTCTGAAATCTGCATGAATCAATTTCTTTTATATAAAAAGTGGTGATGACATTGTTATATTTGTAAGACTATTTTGCCTGTATAACTATGTGCATGTGCAAATATAATGCAGCTTAATAGTTTAAACTGTGCCTGGCAGAGGGATTGACCCAAAAGGTGGTAGAGCACCCCTTAAACCAGCTCAGAATGCCCTGGGGACACTGGAGGATCTTGGGCCTAGGATGCAGGAGAACTCTTCTTGTCTCACCTCTGCCAATAACATGTGCGACTTGGACCATTAGGTCATGACTCTGAAACTCATTTTGTCAACTATAAAGTGAAAAGAACCAAGTAGATTAGTCATATAAAAATTTTAACATAATAAATAAGGTCTGGTATATTCTCATCATTCAGAAAATCCAAGCAATATGTATAAAGTAAAAGCCCGCATTGATTCCCACCCAGTTCCACTGATCCCTTGAGGAGTAACTACTGTATACAGCAGGCATCCTCAAACTATGGCCCGTGGGCCACATGCGGGTGTTTTTGCCCGTTTGTTTTTTTTTACTTCAAAATAAGATATGTGCAGTGTGCATAGGAATTTGTTCATGGTTTTTTTTAAACTATGGTCCGGCCCTCCAAAGGTCTGAGGGACAGTGAACTGACCCTCTGTTTAAAAAGTTTGAGGATCCCTGGTATACAGCATGTTGCAGAGTATAGTTCCAGTTATTTTTATCAAATATACACATTCCTTCACAAAAATGTATAAATTCCTTTGTTGTTATTTTGTACAAATGACATCAGTTTCATTCTTATTCATTTTTTGAATTTTAAGAATCTGACGAAGGCTAAAGATCTCCTCCTTTCCCTAACAACACATATGTATACAACATTGTGTATAGAAAATCAAGGACATTCATGTACCCTTGAAGTTCACATGACGATTACAAATCCATGTATTTCTAGATGAAGAAACCTAGACTAGGGCTATCTTAGTCCATTTTCTGCTGCTATGACAGAACACCACAGACTGGGTAATTTATAAAGAACAGTTTATTTGAGTTGCTGTTCTGGAGGTTTGGAAGTCCAAGAGCTTGGTGATGGTATCTGGCAAGGATCATCCCATGGCAGAAGGGCAGAAGGCAGAAGCAAGTGCATGGGACAGAGAGAGAAAATTGGGCTGAACTCATCCTTTTTTTTCAGGAGCCCACTCGTGAGATAATTAACCCCTTCCCTCAATAGTTGTATTCATCCATTGATGAGAGTAGAGTCCCTGTGGCCTAATCACCTCTTAAAGGCCCCACCTTTTAATATCATCATATTGGCAAGTAAACTTCAATGAGTTTTGGAGGGGACATTCAAACCATAGCAAGGGCTATATTGTTCAAAAATTATGTTCTATAATTTTAAGTACAGGACCATTCTGTGTTTTCATATTCTTTATGTCAACTCTTCCCGCGGCTCCTTTTCACATAAGAGTTTATGCTTTCTTTAAATAAAATTTTATTTTCATCAAAGTCTCATGTGGATGCAGTTTTCAAAATCATATAGTACCACAAAGATCATAATGGAAAAAAAATAATTCTTCTCTAACTCCAAATCATGCTCCCTGGAGATAAACTCTTTTTTGTCTTCTAGGTGTTTCTTTTGAGATTTTCCTCCATGTTCCTGAATCATATGCTTATAACTGCCTTGTTGAAAAGGCTTAACTAGATGACATACAAACAGAAAATGGCTTTATT